AGACACTCCACCCCCAACTCTACCCCTGCCTCTTCATCCCATGGCTCCTTCAGCGGAAATTCACAAGTTCATTTTGGCATACAGGTTTTTGGTACTAAAATTCCCAGAACGAAAAAGTCTAGATGTGTTGATATGAATTTTTAACCACGGCCTAAATGTGGAAAATAAAATCTTGAGATCATGGAAGGAATAATGTATGTATGTTTTTTCAGAGAGGAAGGGAGAGGGAGAGATAGAAACATCGATGAGAAAGAATCATTGGTCGGCCGCCTCCTGCACACCCCCCCCCTCCCGCCCCCCGCCTCTAATGGGGACAGAGCCTGCAATCCGGGCATGTGGCCTGACCATGAATCGAACTGTGAACTCCTGGTTCATAGGTTGGCACTCAACCACTGAGCCACTGTGGCTGGGCAAAGGAATAATGTTTTAAAGTAAAGCACACCACAATAAATTTCTAAAACCTCCAAATTTGGGATGATTTTTTTATTTACAAAACAGATTCTTTTGTTTTACAAAAATTACCAAAAAAGGTGACTTTTAAAAAATAGAAGTAGCTTCTCAGGTTTTCGGGAACTATTTTTAAGTAGCCAAGGAGTTAGAACCTAGGTGGATTTCTTCGTTTTAAGAAGTGTGAAGCGACATTTATCAAGGCTTCACGTCTCCCCCAAATTTTTGTATCGTCTCTGGCGGAAAGGGCTCCCGTCAGGTCAGAGTCTGCAGAAGCAAGATCTTCTCGTTGATGCAGAACCTGTGCAGCACCACCATCAAGTTCTCTCCACAGCGGGACACCTGGCGCTCCATGGCCAGGCGGAAGTCCTCCTTCACGCCCTTGGTGATGCCCCGAGTGACCGTGTGGTGCCTGAGGGCAGCAACAGGGAAACAGAGGGACACCGTGGTTAGCGCTGGTTCTACAGGGCGGGGCCTCTGGGGTAGGAGTAAAGCCTACCTCAAATCTAAGTATAAGACATTTTAAAAAGAAAGAAAAGCCCTAACCAAACCGCCCCCTTTGCCCATTCCTTCTCAAAGACTTAAAACTAGAGAGACACCTTTCCCACTCAAGAAAAGAAGATTTTAAAGATCTAAATGTTCGGTAAAATGCCACCTGCTTCGCTTTTGAACTCCTGTAGCTTGGACATTATGCATCCCTACGCTGACTTGTGCACAATTCAGTTACTGTGGGCTGCAGAGGCAGCAGCAGGGAGGAGGGAACCAAAATGAGTGCCACCAAACAGCTTAGGCACCTGGCCCCGGGGGCTGGGGCTCCGTGAAGGGCTCAGGGACTGTGCTCAGCCACCGGTCACAAGCACATCTCTGTCCCCTGCTGCCAAAACAGGACGGCTCTGCTAAGTGCTGAGCCCAGCAGGTCAGGTCTGCTGGCTCCCAAGACAAGAGAGAGTCTGGCACCCGCGGGGAGGGAGCAGCACAGTCACTGAGCAATAGTCAAAGGCCAGCAAAAGCCACCTGAAGACCGGATCCAGTCCATGTGCACAGACCTGCATGCTGGTGGGAGGGCCCGTGGGAGCACAAGCAAAGATCTCCAGCTACATTCTCCAGGGTGTGCTTCAGAGCAGCGGTCGCCAACCGGTGGTCCGCGACCACTCGTGGTCCGTGAGGTCCGAAAGGTTGGCGACCGCTGCTTTAGAAAGGGAAACCACACAGGAAATCCCAGAAAAGACACCAACGTGAAGAAGGAAAAGAAAAATCTAGCAAAACTCAATGGATTCAATGAAAAGGAAAGGAGTTTTGACACCAGTTCAGTAATTTGGTGGGTTAGACAAACAGAAACCACCTCCATTCCCCACCCCTACTGCCTCACTTCCCTCAGACACAGTAACAGGGATTAAAATTAGATTTTTATGTGCTCGCTTCAGCAGCATATATACTAAAATTAGATATTTATGTGTTGGTCAAAACAACACCATTGAAACCACTCTAAAATGTTTGTTTTTTTAAAACTTGTACTAGCATATAAAACAAGTACAACAAAGTCATAAAGTTGCAAAGAAAGACCCCCAGCCTTGTCAGGCTGGTAGTGACATTACTGGGCACGCCGCAATGCTGGGAACTACGCAGCAGAACAGCGGTGCCGCGGGGAACACACGCAGTTCTTGCGGACTTTTCTAGTGACGTCTGGCTGGTTCACTTGGCAATTAGGACACAGTGTCAGGCCGAGGCCACGAGTCCCACTGGGAACAGACAGACCTTAGGCTGTCCTGAGACACTGCATTTCTGGGAGCCAGCCTGCAACCCCAAATTGGAGCCGACTCTCTGACCAACCAAAAGTTACTGGTATTTGCAGACAGTCAAGGGCATTGATGGTGCAAAGCAAACTCTCTACTAGTAAATTAAAACTAGTACAAATATAATAAACTGTATCCTGCTGATCGTGGTTCAAAGGTACTGTTTCACATATATACAGAGCAGCACAACTCAGTCATGTGTCTGTCAGAGCCTCTATGCCTCTGGTAAATTTAGATGAAGGAGAGAATTAGCTCTTATGGTTTAAGAACAGGATAAATCAGCTAATAACCGTGATATTCTAGCTACCCAATATTTTTAATTCAGAAAGACAAGGTCTGAAAAACCAGTATCGGCGACAGGCGAGTATACTGTGCTAATGCCTGTTGAGACCGAAATCTTAACACTGGTCACTCATTTAAAAACTCAGGAGTAAACATTTACTTAAAATAAGCTTTAGCATCCTCCAATGTTTATAACGGAATGCCTTACACTTTCTCAAAAGAAGAGTTCAGTGCCTAATGTGCACTCAATCTGACACAGTTTTATATAACTTTCATGTTTTTCCAGTTCCATAATGATTTTTAAACCGAACACAAAAACACTGGCAACTTATGGCAAAAAAATAAGAAATGTTACAATATTACAACCAGATGGTTTGCCAAGGAATGCAGAACAAATTAAAAAATAAAGAAAGCATGGAAAAGAGCACTGAGGAACAAAGAGCTGAAGACCATGGGCAGTAAAACATGTTGACAAAACAGCACACTATATGAGCAGGTGTTTTCCACTTGGTACCTGTCAGCAGTCTGTATGCTGGGCTGAAGCACAGGTAAGAATTCCTGCTGCAGTAACCCCATGGGAGGGCTAGTAGGCCTTTAAAAAACAGCAAACGGCAGCATTCAAACACCCACACCGACTCACCCTGCACTGCAAAAACAACACTCCAGAGAAAAGGCACAGGACGGGAAGCAGACTATACAGAAACCCTTTAACTGCAGGCCCCTGGCCGCGGCTCTCACTGCACCCGCTGCTGGGGCGCGGCCAGAGGCATCTTGGTTCCTGGTCCCCGCGCTCAGCCCACTTGAGATTTGGCATAAAAAGCAACCACTGAGGAAGAGGACGATGAGATGCAATTGAATGGCAGTGGGGAGAGGGGTGAACATTTGAGAAGTCGTGTTTTCAAATCCAGCCTCCTTCACTCTCCACTCTTCTCATGCTCACGCCAGTCCTAGAAATAAACCTGGTGACTTTTTGTAACCATCCTTGATGGGACTGAAGCCCCAAATTGAAGAGGCCCTTCCAAGAGGACTAGAGGGGCTGGCAATGTTTTTGATAAAGGAAGGTTAGTTTGAATTTCAAAAAAGTACTGAGAAAAGGAAAAATGGGGGATGGGAGGGGAAAGAGCCTGGGACCCATGGCTTTGCAGAATTCTGTAACAACAAAGATTTAGTACATTAGCTGGGTGATACCTCACAGATTATTATCCATCCTATTCAAAGCATACATAGGACACCGTTTCCTACTTCATCCAGTCTAATGCAACTAAGATACTGCAAATATCAGCACAGAAATTTTTCTCTGCTTTAAAATACATAAGAGCAAAATGTCTATGTAACAAATGAAGAGCGTATCCCTCCTGTGGGGCAGGCCCCCGGTGCCCAGTGTTCGTACTGTACCTGCTCGCATCCGAGATGCCACAACTAGGATGGACTCACAACCTTACCCAAGGGGAGGGGCTGTACAGTGCTCACATCTCTGCCACTCAGCTGCAGGGGCCACCCACAAGCCTGCAGAGAATTTGTTTGCAACCCAAAGGGAAAAGGAATATAGTTTTACTCAAGATTTCACCGTACCTCAATTGGCAAGAATGCTCTGGCTTATGCCGCTTGCTTCTCCCGCTGTAGGTTAGGCATAAGTAATTGGAAATGCAGGCTTCAAATGGGCTTTGAGACTCACTTAGTGACGACTGGGCAAATTCCTACAGGGGCAGCTCACTAAGTAGCAATCTTATTCCTGCTTTCAAACAGGTTTCCTGCGAAGTTTAGGGTCTAGAAATTAAGGGTTATGTTGACCACAGCAGGGGCATGGAGTTACCTCCCAAAACCTAGAAATACATGCTGTGTATCCTAAACAACGCTTTGCCTTATTATGTGGGTGTCCAAGCCCCCTATCTCAGGGGTTGTCTGCATGTACCCGTCACTGTTTAGCTCAGTAAAAATTGGCTAAAAAAGAAAGATTCAGTGTAAATAAACTTTGAAATTCAACTGGTGATTTTTTGGCAATCTATTCTTTCCCACTTCCACAAACAGTTAAGCAGTATCTAAACCAGGGGTGGGGAATGTCCAGCCCATAGAAGGCCTGCGAAATAATTTGGTCTGGCCCTGTCAAGACATTAGGGGTGAGTTAATTGAGTGACCAAATACAGCAGGCTAATTTTTAAGCTGATAATTTTTTATGGCCTGCGAATGATGTTATAAATATCCAAATGGTCCTGGGCAGAAAAAAGGTTCCCCACCCTTGAAGCAAAGTGAGAATCTTCTGTAAGTTTACTCCTAAGTAAATGGAGTTGGTTCTACTAAGGCTGTCTATATATTATAATTTGTACGATGAGTGTTAGTGGGAATTAACGAAAAAGCTATGTTTGTATACCCAGCCTCAAACCTAGAAAAGAAATCACAAAATCACAACATAAAGGGGTTATGTAGGCTCCCATGTCAAAACGAATCTTCATTCTCAAACACTGTTAAGAATATTTGACCCATGCAATTATTTCCCCAGTTCGTGTTCAGTCTTTGGAAAGTGAATGGAGATGGGAAGATGAGCATGCCCAGTCCATCTTGCTGAAGCAACCGAATTTATAAAGGTCTCATTTTCTTTTAAAAGAGCATTTGTTCTTTTATTTTAAATGTTGAGACTATTAATAACATTTTTAAGATGAAGGACAAGAACCCCACTGAGTCTTCCCTTTCTTTAGACTGGATTCCATAAGACCCTACTATTGACAGCATGTGTCTGCTTTGCACAAATTACTGCGGTCACAGAAATCCAGAATGAACTGCTCTTACCTCCTTCTCCTAACATTTCTAAGACTTGAGAGACAGAACAAGCTGTGGCTATTTCTCCGTCAACAACTAATACTCGCTCAGGTCACAAGTGAGGGAGAAAGGAAGACGTTTTCAGCCTTAGGAGCACTGCCTTCTCCCTCTGGGTCAGTCTCCTGCAGTGACTCGAACGCTGACTTAAGACACGCTGACTATGCAGGACGCAGAGGAGGAAGTATGAAAATCACACTAAGCGTGGCATTTACAGCACAGAGGCTATATCATCCAAACCATGATGAGGATTGAAGGAGAGAAGCAAGATTTATGAGCTATTTAAAAATCATAAATGGTCACCAACTTCCTCTAGGTGTGGGAGGGCATGCCTGAGACCAAGCACCACCATCATTTCTTGGGCCAGGTGTGAACCTGGAGGCCCTAGCCTGGGCTATTTTCCTTTGTGCTATATAAGCAGTGAGGATTGCTGAGGTGGGTCTCCGTTCAACAGTGAAATTCAAGTACAGTTTATAACCAAAGTCTATAGTTTCCCTGATGACTTATCCTAATCTGGTATTTCAATTAAGCGTGGCTTTTTTTCATTAAAAGCACTCTATGTTTAATCTGACATTTATTGACTTAGTCTGTAAATTTTAGAAAGGAAAAGATACCACGAATGAGACTTATGTTTAGTGAAATAGTTTCAGAAGTGACAAAAACATCCTCGTTTAAATAATGTTTGGTCAAAAATGTCATTAAGGAAACGCCAAGCCTTTCAAAAGGCACCAGAATCAAATCTACTCTCAAAAACAGAGACTAGGTTTGGATTCCTTTCTATTAAATTTGTAAAAGGTATAGAAATTTACAAACATTTCCTATAAGCACGCAAAAGGTGAGCATTTAGCAGGGGAGAGCAAAAGACAGTCTGCTTACTTGATCAGCATTCCTTGATTGGGCAGTAATTCCAGATGGATTTTCCCACCTTCCTGAGTTCTTAGGTAGGCAAATTCCTCCAGCATGTCAATATCTGCAGGTCAGATTCAGGTTAACCACGTGTGAGAACAAGGTGCCCTGGTCTCTTGGATGAGGAAACCGCCTTATAGCAATTGAGGAACTAACACCCCATGACAGCTGGAGAGTCAGTATTGGAACCCAGGTCCCTCTGATTCCAAAGCTAATGATTCTTACACCAACCAAACTACCTCACAAAGGTAAACCTGTTTTTCACAGAGATGGCAATATAAAATTCTCTATGATCATAAGAGCAAAATCTTTTGTTTTCTCAATAAGAAATGAGAGGCATTGTATCCCAAAAAACGGTAAGAACTATTGCTCTAGGCACTTGGACAAGGCTATTAGATTTCTCGCAACTCAAAAATAATGTGTTGAGATAAGCGATAAAGTAGAAACACCAAACTGACACATAACCTTCCATTCAAATGTGGTCTTTCCCTAACAGACAGCACGAACACAACACTTCTTATCACTGAAAGCGACTGCTGGGCTGCACATGTGGTGAGCACTCAGCAGCCGTGAGTAGAACTCCAACTGATCCCAGGGGACGGCTGATGCCCAGGAGGCTCGCTTGTGAAAGATGGAGGCCAGTGAGCTGTTATATACCCTATGGCCACACCAGCAACTCTGGGCCTGTTAGGAACCTGTAGGCTACTACTTTAGGCATCTGGGCACCTCCCCAGAAGTCCCTGGAAATAGAAAATGAACAGGGCTGTTGATGTTCCTGATTCCTTACATGACCTCCTTGAAACCTTTTATTTTTTATGACTTTCACAAGACCAATGGCAAATGTCCCACTTTGGATCCCCATTCCTTCTCTTTTCCCCTCAAATAGTGAAAACCATTATTTCTATCCAGAACGGGCCACTTGTTTTTGGAACATGCATTCATAAAAAAAAAAAAAAATCAGAATTTCTTATGCTTAACCAAGAAAAAGGATACTTGTAACATAATTGAAAAAATTCTCATATTGGAAATTTCCTTGTTGGCAAATCTTATTGACAGCTTTCAAGAAAAGATTCTCTCCCCGAGGCCACTCCTGCTGAAGCAATACGATCACATGCCCCAGAGCCATGTCATCCCTGCTGTCCGTGAAAGCTCTAAGCTGCAAGACAAGGGTTGATGCAAACACAGAAGGAAAAGGAAATCATGGGGCAATCCAAAATACACCAGATATCACTTCCTTAAAAAAATGCTATTATTTGAAAATGCATTATCAAAGTCATTAGAGTAAGAAGGGAACACAGTAGAAAACAAACCTGCCTTGCAAGCAGCACACAACTGCCTACGGAGGAGGGAATCCTGAGAGAAGCCTCAGCCCCCCACCCCCGCACTGTGCGCATGGGGTTGGCAGGGTTTACATGGTATCTGATGGAACCTGGGCACGCACAGTGGGCCTGAAGCTTTGAATTTGGGAGTAAGGGCTGGAGAAAGCAGAGTGGTCTATATAACAGAGACAAGAATTGGGGGATTTCTTTCAAGGAGACAGTTGGGAGAGGAGGGTGGGCAAGAAACCCTCTAGGAGAGAAGGGATTGAAAACATGGACTCGGGGAGAGAGAAAGGTAGTGAGCAAAAAGGAAGTAAACAGCAGTGTGAACTGGAGAAACTGACAGAGGACTTTCTGATCTAAGTGAGCAGCGAGGCCTAAAATCACACTTCCAAGTGATTGTGATGAGGAGGTAAGTTTGGAATAACTACTGTAAAGTGAGACCCACCCAGCATTATCGCCCTCTTGCTCATAAAACCTGTCTACGCTAAGGCTCCACAGCGCTGCAGCCGAGCGCCTGGCATTCTGTCAAGTCCTTAACCTTCCCAACTCTGCGGGGCCTTTGCTGGGGTTCATCCTTATGCCTGAAACGCTTCCACCCACTGTATCTTTATGATATTACACTCACTATCCCTCTATGAACCCAACATTTACAATCCCTTCTTCTGTAACTAATATATTCTGAATTGTATAGTGATTCATAAATATATAATGAACCCTGCTATAAGCAAGGTTATTTGCATATTTGTCCCACTATTATTTGTAAACTTCTCAAGGATGGGGATCACTTCCTACTCATCTTCGCCCAGTGCAGTGAGTATTTAATAAATGTCTGTTCACTCCTAGCCCACACACTTTCCTCACTACACCACCTGCATTTGCAAAGGACTAAACTAACATTTGTTCTCAAAGTTCTGAAGTCAAGTCATTCTGAATCATCCGAACAATATTCCAAATGAAATTTCTTTCACACAAAATGAACTTTCCCACAACTTTAAGCTTACCTTAAAACAAGCTAGCATTAAATGCAGGCAGTACGGCATGATAGCCTTGCTGGTACAAGGCAGAAGCTTCAGGTCCGAACCTAATAAAAGTTCACAATATGCTCGTTATTATATAAAAAGAACAACAACAAAAAACAGCTTTGAAAAGCATATGTTTAAGATGCTTTCCTAAAAAAAAGGATGAACAACAGTCACATGATTTCATAAATAGTTAAACCACAATTATGTGTAGTGGAGGTGAAATTGGTTTTTGAATGGTCTCTGGATTTCGTTTATCAATCTTCTTTCCTAAACTTGCTGAATCTACAGATACGTTGGGGATGACTGGTACCTTAACCATACTGAGTCTTCTACCTACAAACATGATTTTTAAAAAGATGGATCTTGGAGAGGGGAAAGAAGGGAGGAAGAGAGAGGGAGAGGAAGAGGGAGAGAGAGAGACAGACAGACACAGAAACACCAACTGGTTGCCTCTTGGATGCACCCAGAAAGGGGAATTGAACCTGCAACCTGGGTAGGTACCCTGACCGAAACCAAACCCATCACCTTTCAGTGTACAGGATGACACTCCAACGAACTGATCCATTATCAGCCAGGGCTACGAACAAGATTTTGACATAACTTTCATTAAATTTATCCCTATGTATTCTATTTGGAGATTTCTTAGGCTTTTCTATGTAGCCAAATATGTTGCTGTATATAAAGGCAGTGTTTTTCAACCTTTATGCCTTTATCTCTTCTTCTTGCCTATTATATTGGCTAGACTATTTTGAATGAAGTGGTGGGAGCAGACATCCTTCTATTGCTGCTGATTCTGGGGAGCATTCAATATTTCATAGTTAAGTATGATGTCACGGAAGTTTCCTTCTATTTTCAGTTTGCTAAGATTTTTAAAATCAGGAATAATAAATGTAAACATAATTGAATTCTACCTATTAAGACAATCATGATCTTCTTTGTTTCATCTGCTAATGTGGTGGATTAGTTATTGATTTTTTAATGTTAATGACTTTTGCATTCCCTGTATACTCGGTCATTTGTATTACCTTTCTTATATATTTGCTATATTTGTCTTGCTACTATTTAGTTAAGGATTCTGGCATCTAGGTTCAGGATGAGCACTGGCCTTTAATGTTTCTTGTGATGCTCATTTGGTTTTGCTATCAGTTATGTTGGTCTTAAAAACTGAACTGAAAAGTATGCCCTCTTCCTCTATTCCTCAAAGAATGCAGGTTAGGATTGTTATTATTTCTTCCTAAATGCTTAGTAGAATTCACCAGTGAAGCCATCTGGAACTGGAGTTTTCTCTGTGGGAGATTTATGATAACAAACTTAATTTCTTTGATAGATATAGGAACATCCAGATTTTCTAATTCGTTTTGTGTCCATTTGGATAAGTTGTGTTTTTCAAGGAATTTTTCCATTTCATCTAAATTGTTGAATTTATTGGCATAATGTTGTTCATAACTTACTTAATGTCCTTGATTTAGGAGGCTCTGTAGTGACATTCCCCCTTTCATTCCTCATACTGGTAGTCAGTGTTCACTTTTTTCTGGATCAGCCTTGTTAGGGTTTATCAATTTTATTAGTTCTTTGCAGAAAACCAACTGTTAGCTTTATTAATTTTCTCTATTTCATTGATTACTGCTCATATTGTTATTATTTCCTGTCTTCAACTTTCTTTGGGTTTAATGTGTTCATCTTTTTCTGACTTTTAAGGTAGAAATTTAGATCAGTAATAGTGAATCTTTCTTATATAATAAGCATGACAGCTAAATTATGTAGTTTTTAAGCAACATGCAACTTGAAGTGCAGCGCAAAAGAGCTCAAGAGGAATATGTACGATCTACATATTCCTAGAATTGGTAAAGGAAGGAAAAGGAGTTCAGAAACTTTAAGAAATGAAGAGAACTCTGGAAGAAAGGCAGACTTCCAGCTACTTAAGAAATCAGAGCCAAGAAAAAGCTTGGTAAGGGATTAACTTTTTATACTTTGTCAAGCCCTGCAGAGCACACAGTACTATTTTATTAGGAATTATAAAAAAATTTCCCAGCCTTGGGTCCTAAAGCTATTTTTTACAAGATAAAAAGAAAAGTTGTCACTGTACCTTTTCTAAATTTGGGCTTTACTTTGGAAGGTTCTTCCTGTGATTTGCCTCCATCTTGAATGGGGAGCACCATGTAGCACATCAAATCCAGGACTTTTTCACATGTCATCTGAGGAGACAAGGAGAAGGAGCTCATGTGAAGTTTCTGACACTGAAAGCAACCCGACACCATGCTGACTATCTGCGTACAACTGGGCAACACTGCACACAGAGTCTGTGGCAATGTCTCCAGACCCTAAGTGGCCATCGCTGTTTGTCCAACACACAGGGAAAGTAACAGTACGGTGAAATCCTGTACTAGACCTCTGAGGGAACAATAACTCGTTCTCTGTTGTTAAAAAAAACCCAACAAAACAAAACTTACTACTTAATCAAACTACCAATGTATTAAATAGCATAGTGGCACCCCAAAGAAGTATGTTTTTGTCTTTACAACATTTACTAACTCACCAGAGAGAAAAATTAACAAAACAGAACATATAGTATGAACTGAATTAAAACATTTATTGAGTATGGAAGCTGTGCAAACTACTGTGATAGGTAGTGAGAGATCCAAGATAAAGAACACTGTCCCCACCCTGTGAAGTTGGAGCTCACAACCAGAAAGATACCCTGAGGTTCAGATAAGCTAATGTAAGACCTCGTTCCCCACTTAGTAAAGGCCCCTTCTGTTCAGTACATCAGGACTGATTCCACTGTGAAGGGATTTCGGGCAAGAAAAGGAAAGAAGGAAGGAAGGAAGGGAGGGAAGGAGGGAGGAAGGAAATCTTCCAAAAAAATAGAACAATAATAAAGCACCGAGGCCCAATTTCAGGGAAACTATAGTAGAGGGAAAATTAAGTACAAAAAATCACCATGATTTCCCAGCAGACTGGGTAATACATCTAGGCAGAAAGACCAAATTTCAAAGTAAACATGCACAGAATTAAAGAGCCACTCCAGGAGGAGGAGGAAACCAGGGTAGCTGAGTGTCCCTGAGGCCTGAGCAAGGTGTCAGTACTCACTCTGTACTCCCCTAGAGCAAAGTGGCAGGTGGCCAGCTGGATGAGCGCCCTCTGATGCTCCAAGGTTCCCTGTCCCGTGAGCTGTGGCTGAGGAAGTGATCCCTGGAGAGCTGCTAAGTGATGCAGGCTGGCTATTGCCTTTTTATATTGACCCTTAGAAAGATAAACAGCAAGAAGGGGAAAAATACTGCCATTAAAAACAAATAAACCAACCTCCTGAGTTACCTAAGCAATTAGCAAGTAACTACAAATAAGGTACCTCTGCTTGATTACCCAAGGAGGAATAAGGAGGCTTAGCAACGGCCTTTCTGGTCTTTAAGACTAAATAAAATGACGCAAGCCCTTTGATAAAGTACATTTTGAATATACCATTCCTCCATCAACATTTTACTACTAAGACCACTTCTCTTTTATGAGGGGTGAAAGCAGCAACCTGTCCATTTCAACCAGAGGATGAAAGCTCTCCATCCCATTAGTGAATGGTCTGCTCTCTCCATTCCAGGCATAAGGAGCTCTGCAACAGCAGAGCAAGGCAGAAACTCTTCACCAGAGTAGAGAGGGGGAGGAGTGAGAAGTACCCATCTTTTAGTGAAAAGTAAAAATCTCATTTTTACAAAGGACTGGACTGGACATACCAAAAGTAATACAGAAGATGCAGCCGTGCTGTTTTGGAGTTACTGTGAGATGAAAGTGAACCACAATTCCTCCGTCACTGAGACAGAACACCTGTCTTCAGAGCAGGGACTAATAGTCCACAGAGGGACGTACACATCTTGCATGCTGATGGTTAGCAACAGTCATCCTGTACAGACACAGGTGCTTAAAACAGACATGACTCTACCTGATAGATGATCATATCAGTGAGGAAGATTCTTAACCAAAGCCAAGTATCCGTCTTCCATGCCAAACAAATTCGTGTAAATTCTGAGCGAGAATTCAAAGGAAATTTACCAAAAATATGTAACACTGAACAGAACTAAATAACCCAGTAAGAGAGAACAACAGCCAGAGAAACACATTACCAAAAAATAGACAGTAATTGTAGAGTTTGATTTCTGATTTCTAAAACAATGGTCTAGAACTTCAATTAGACAGTACAGCTAGAACAGAATACTTAGTAATACACAAGCACATTTTATTAGGCACCAACATTTACTGAGCACATGCGATGTGCCAAGAACTGTTCCAAATGCTTTTCACATATTACCTCATTTATCTTTTCAATTACTTTGCTCCTCCCCGCCCAAAAGATCTTGTTTTATTTTTACCCCATTAAAATACTATGCAACACTAAGAGTTTTATTCCTTTTTAAGACAATTTGTAGCTAAAGGAAAAGTCACATACATGCTCACAAGTCTAGATACAACAGGAGAAACAGAATGCTGCTGTATTTGCTTAGAAACATGCCCAAGGGCTCTGTACAGGCACGTGACAGAGCAGGACAGGCATGAATGTCCACTGGCTAAAAGGAAGTAATGAGCCTTGACTCCAAAGGATGGCAAAAATACGTTGGTTAGCAAAGCGCTGGTCATTTGTAAGAAATGCTGATATACTTAATAGTTTAATACTATTCAGATGAAACACCCTATTTTTATGTCTATACTTCAAAGAAAACAGGCTTTCTATAGCATTTGGATTTTGAGGTTTTTGGACAGTGGAGTTAATGCAGATGGAAAACAGCATTACTTTTTGTATTCTTAGTTACATGTGGTTAAGGAAGATACAGAGCAACAGGACAGGATAATTAAAAGCACAAAACAAACAAACCCAGGAAAAAAAGGCCGGCAATAGAAATTTTAAAAGATCCAAAACTCTCCCTCTACTTCACCCCAACCCTGATTATAATATACACTCAGAGCAGAAGCTAAGAGGTGAATGGTTATTTGAATATTAATAACTGATTAGGTCTTAATTTAGTCATAAATGACTTGACATATCAAGTAATTTTTTTAGCACAATGATTTTATATAAAAAAATTAAACAGCACTAATAGGACAAGCATATTCTTACCCTTGTCAAGGAATTCTAGGGAATAGAGCAACTCCCAGCTCTCCCTGGCCAACTTAAAGCTTTCTAACACTTCAATTGAGTTCGCAAGTTCTGCTTTATTGATGACAATGTGACGATTCCTTCCTTTGGCTGAACAGTCCTCGTCGTCGGAACTCTGCTTGGAGAATGTGAAGAACACGATCACTCTTTGTTGTGGGGTTTCCTGTGTACTGTAGACTTTCTGGCCGTTATCCCTGCCTCTACTCACCACATACTAACAGCAACCCTTCCCCACCCAGCGATGATATGACCATCAAAAATGTCCTCTGCCCCGGCCAGTTTTGCTCAGTGGATAGTGAGTCAGCCCGCAGACTGAAGGGTCCCGGATTCGATTCTGGTCAAGGGTACACGCCTTGGTTGCAGGCTTGATCCCTGGCCTTGGTTGGGGCATATGCAGGAGGCAACCAATTGATGTGTCAGACACACCGATGTTTCTGTCTCTCTCCCTCCTTTCCACTCCCTCTAAAAAGCAATGGAAAAATATCCTTGAGTGAGGATTAACAACAACAACAAAGTCCTCAGATATTGTCAAGTGTCCCTAGGGGTCAAAATTACTTCTAGCTAGGAACCACTGAGTTATACAGTAACTACATGTTATAACTAAAACCTAAGCTTTATCAATTTAGTTCCAAAACCATATTTTACAGACTAATTTCTAAAAAAAATCATAAACATATAATCTATTAATAATCACTGAAAAGGATTACCATGGGTTTTTCTCTTCCTTCTGCCAGTTTCCTCTTTTTATGTATGTGTTTATTACGATCAATTTCTATATCACCATACACATTTGATACATCCTCCAGGAGAACCAGTGGAACTTGGCTTGGGGCATTAGGACCTATGGGTGGGGTAAAACACCAACAATTAAAAATGTAGCAAGGAAAACAACACTTAATATCAGGTGGAAGTTTACTCAACTTTCATGTAAAAATATAGGTCATTAAAAATTTGTACAGTGTGGCCCCAATTAGGAAAACAAACAAGTGTATATGTATAGAAAAAGACTGTACAGGTATACACCAATTGTTAACAGGGGTTCTCCCAACAGTAGCAGATAACAAAAAAAAAAGTTCCTTTTTTGTATTTGTTCTTACGTTTTTACAAATTTTTTACCATAATCATGAATCATAAAATTACCAAAAAAAGTAAGGCTACAAAATTACACGTACATGATGGTTATAAATTCCAAACAAATCTAATATATGAAAAGACTATAAGGCAATACACAAAAATGGGAGCTGTGTTATACTGGAAGAATTATGGGAGATTTCACACTCGTATTTTTCTTTTTTTTTTTCTTTAAATATATTTTATTGATTTTTTACAGAAAGGAAGTAAGAGGGATAGAGAGTTAGAAACATCGATGAGAGAAACATTGACCAGCTGCCTCCTGCACATCCCCTACTGGGGATGTGCCTGCAACCAAGGTACATGCACTTGACCAGAATTGAACCTGGGACCTTTCAGTCCGAAGGCCGATGCTCTATCCACTGAGCCAAAACGGTTAGGGCTCGTATTTTTCTTATTTTCCAGGATTTATATGTATATATTTTTTTCTCTGTACCATTCCAATTTTAGTCTATGTGCTGCCGAAGCGAGATATATATATATATATATAAAATTTAAAAAGTCTTTGCCTATTGCAAAGTCTTTGTGAAATCTACTTCAATACTTTGCTACATCTGCTGCTTTTTCAAAATACAGGCATTCAATGTCTGCATTTAGTTTCATATTGCCACTACATTTTTTGACATAGAAACTTTTAATGAAGATGTACTTACATAAACCAACAATAACTAAATAAAGCGCTGCTTTCACCCCACAATTATCTGGATCCGAGAACAATGTTAAGGTAAGCATTTTTATCTTCACCATCCCCACTGAGGCCAGTATTTTGGGACACTCTAAAATTCTTAAACCAACCTTGGAAGAGAGATGGCTGTATGCTATTGACATACTGGAATGCATTCTTAAAGAAGACCAACATAGTGGAATAAACCACTTGGTTTTTATATTTTGCATGAGCTTCATTATCAAAGTTGTTCATGTATCTGCAGAGATCCTTCATTCTATGCAAAATATCACCATAGCTTCTGAAAGATGAAGAATGATAAAATTTGCTTAATTACTCTGGGCTTGTCAGCAAAAGGTCAAGAGAAATGTCCCAGGAGAGCCATTACATTTACCAAATGTAATTTTAGGCATGTAAAACTAGTCTTTATTGTCCACATATGGCTGCAAATTCTCCTGAATTAGAGCAGTGATTAGACCAATATTTTATGAAACAAAAATGCCAAGTAGCTTCTCTTTCCTCTGAACATCAAGGAGTACTTCAAACTCAACATCATCTTAGAGTTCCTATTTCTGTTGGGAATCTTTTAATAAAATGAAAAACTACCCTCTTTTGCATAAATACTGTGTGTTACAGAATTTACCCAAAGAGAGATGTACCAATATCCTATTTAATAATATGCTAATTAGACCAAACAGCCAAACGACCTTCCGGCCATTCTTCCGGACTAAAATGGGGCTGTGAGGGCTGGCCGAGGCAGCCGGGGCTGCGAGGGCCGAGCCCTTGCACAAATTTCGTGCATCAGGACTCTAATATTAATATATTAAAAAGTTATTTTGTTTCTTAGGATCCTGAGATTATGCTATCAAAGATTTGTTAGGTAGTTCTAGAAACGAACAATTTTTTTACCGTCTTCCTTTATCCATCTGCCATTCACATCTCATTCCAACAACATTCAAAATCTTAAACAACCTCTCCCAAGGGTCCACAATCTGGGATGATTTTTCAGTCAATCCTTCTATTATGTACTTCTGAGAGCTACGTTTGCTAGGTGACATTAAATCAGAGGTTTCCTGCACACCTGAGATGTAAGAAAAAAAAAGCCTGCAATTAACATTACTACTTAACTGTTTATATCAGTGGTTCTCAACCTTCTGGCCCTTTTAATACAGTTCCTCATGTTGTGACCCAACCATAAAATTATTTTCGTTGCTACTTCATAACTGTAATGTTGCTACTGTTATGAATCATAATGTAAATATCTGATATGCAGGATGGTCTTAGGCGACCCCTGTGAAAGGGTCATTTGACTGCCAAAGGGGTCGCGACCCACAGGTTGAGAACCACTGGTTTATATGGTACTTGATAGAGGAAAAAAAAATCACTCCCCATTCAAAAAGCTAGAGCACAGAATCTCAACATGTTGTGTCTTGTTCAAGGACCTACACTGGCCATTGGTAATGTAGGAAGTGACTTTGAGCTGTGGTACATGTATAAAGCTCAGTGTATAAATAGAGTTCAACAAGTTAACTGTTGCAATTTAGGGGTAAAATTGGGTCCAGAAAAGTCTCATCTCTTAACTGCAGTATTTCTTTTCTAGAAACCTTCTTTTAGAAACATTATCAAACTGGTATGTATCCAGAGGGAATAATGAGCATGCTGAGGGATTTCTGACTTTGTAATTTTACTAAAGTCTGTCTAAACAAGATTGTAGGACATTCCTACTTACCTTGATGCTGATTCTCTACCTGAGTAGACCTGGTGACATAATTGATATAAAATTCAGCTGCTTTGTTCAAGTACTTGTATAATAAATTGGCAGGCAACCGAACATCATGGTTGTTAATTATTAGAGGAAGGACATCACAAACTGTTGATGAGGAAAAATAAGAAAAAAATAGTTCAATTGTCTATCTTAGGGTTCTGACAAAAACAAAATTTATTTTCGAGTTCACTTAATGTAGTACCTAAAATGTACAGGGGGGCACATTTATTTGAAAATTGCAGTGCAGAGGCACACCAGTGGGTGAAGTCAGCAAGAAAACACGGGCAGATTCTATATTGTGGGTAAGATGTTTGTTTATTATTACACTGCATACTTAAATATACAGTCACACATATTCTTTGGGAGATATCAAATATGACATTACAAAAACTTAGAAATTGTTTAAAATGCTTTCTGGACTGAAAAAATAAACAATGATTTAAATGCCGAAATATGAAAAGTTCCTTTGCTTTCTACCAATGGCCTGAACCCTGAAATGATACTTACCCCTGCATATTCTACATAGCATAAGGACTTAATATAAAATACAATTTTTCTTACCAAATAATTTTCTAAAGCAGTTAACAGGAGATTCTTGTTCTTCAATGGTTTCAGCCTCTAGCAGTGCCTCCCCAAGGCCAACCTGTTTCAAAATACATTTAATCATTTAAATGTGTTACAGTTTAACATGTCAGAATTACACGAAGAAACATGTGATTTTTTTGTTTTTAATCCTCATTCGAGGATATTCTTCCCCCCAATGATTTTTAGAGAGTGGAAGGGAAGGGGAGAGCCAGAGAGAGAAACATCAATGTGAGACACATCGGTTGGTTGCCTCCTGCATGTGCCCCAACCGTGGCCAGGGGCCGAGCCTGCAACTGAGGTACACACCCTTGACAGGAATCGAACCCGAGACCCTTCAGTCCAAGACCCAACACTCTAACCACTAAGCCAAATAGGTTAGGGCAATAAGGTATTTTTTTAATTTACCACATAGTTTGTATATTTAAGCTTCCCGAAAAACAAATATTTTCATATTAAAGACTAGAAAACAAAAAAACATCAGCAACACAGCTCAGAAGGGAATCCCTAATTCACCTGACCACAGATCACTTTGTCTTGGTTATTTTCCTCTGAAATGGTAATATTAAAACCCTAACAAAATGTGTAAGAAATGTAAAGAATGCACAGGAACTAGAGTTAGAATGATAATAGAGATGTAGAGATTTTCTAAGAAATGTGGAAAAAACTCTACTATCTACCTCAAGATGTGTCATGTGGATGAAACATCACTTTCAAGAGTTGTCTGGAGTAGCCAGTCGTACAGCCTGCACTCGGCTGGACAGACTAGGAGTTTTAAGCCACCTTTCCATTACTGATGCCCTAGTATAGCAGAAAGCTGGCTTATCAAATCCACCAAGATGTCAGCATTATCTTCCTTGCGACTACTTGGCATGCACAAGGTTGGGGTGGGACAATGGGAACGATTACACAGCACAGAAAGTTTAAAGTCAGAGTAATGATCAGGGACTATACTGGGTTGAATAGTGTCCCCTCCAAAATTCATGTCCACCCAGACCCTCAGAATGTGACCTTACACAGATTTTACCTTACAAAATGTGAGCTCTTTGTAGACACAATTAGGTAAGATGAGGTCATACTGGATTAGGGTGGGACCTAACTCAATGACCTTATATAAGAAGGTCATGTAAAGACACAGACACACAAGGAAGCAGGCCATGTGACAATGGAGGCAGAAACTGGAATGATGTCGCTGCAAACCGAGGAATGACAGACTGCTGGCGACTACCAAAAGCTAGGAAACGGTAGGAAGATTAATGATTTGAATCCTGACTCTCCCACTGACGGAAAGTTACTAACATTTAAGATTCAGTTCCCTCATCTGTAAAGTGGAGATTCAGTCCCCTCATCTGTAAAGTGGATATTATGTACACCTCAAGGGGTCTGTGGAGAATAGAAGGAAATTCCTAAAATTTCCCAAAGCCTGCCAATAGCATTCAATTATTACAGATATAAGAAAAGGGCATGAATAGAGAGAAAACAATGTTCATAGGGCAAAAGCATGTGAAAAACATGTCTATTAAGAATATACACTACGGCTCTCATTAAAATTCAAACACATTTTTGAAAACACTGGAATAAGATTATTTTAAAAAACTTTACTCAAAGCTCAGTGACTGTTTCCTTACACTGCTAAAACAACTTCTACTGGAAATTAATGGTTTGGTAATAGTGACATCCTTCTAGCTTTACTGACAAAGATTTAAGTTCAACCTTATCTAATGTTCCTCAGAACGTCTGCTTTACAATATCCACTATAGCTCCTAAGCATACTGATGAATTTGTCGATGACTTTTATGTTCTCTTAAGGAAAAGGAAAGGACCAAATCTTACCCCATGCTGCACCACTGTTTCAGGGAAGCGTCTCAGAAGGAGCAGCAGCATTTCTGATCGTTCCAAGGTGTTGAAGCATTGTTCCGTGACCTTGAGTAACATTTCACACTGGACCCGACCAGGAAGAGTTTCAAATAAACCTGTACACAGCACATCATGTTTTTAGAAGTTCCTTTCAGAAAGAACACTGAAGCAAAAGTGGAAGTAAGGCATTTTTATATACAGAACAGTAAATACTATGTGAAGAATCACTGTTCTTGGGTTTCACCTACAACCTAGAAGGCTTCTGGGTCAGACAGTATTGGGCACAAGATGTTTGTTGAATGACCATAAAAACCTTTTTGGGATCCAGAAGGCAAGAATGATATGTGAAGGGTCACAACAGTGCTTGTTGCTGGCTGAGACAGAGAACATGCACTTGTTTAAGGTGAAAGGACCTACACTGTCTACTTTTTTATCCAGAATTTGAAATATCTGATTGGCTATAGCAACCAACACAGAGTAAAGGTTTAAAGAAAGGTCATAAATCATTAAAGTTTCTCTCCTGTTTTGTGAAGATCTGCCTAATGTACAGATACTTTCTGACTGCTGTAAAACCTGTTAAAAATATATTCAGTTCCCTGGACTAACTGATAAGTCCACATCCCTTAAGGAAGCTTACAGGAGTCTAAGCAAATGCTTCAGGGACCAAGTGACACCATTTGTACAGACTTCCGCTGCCAAGAATAAAACATACAAATGGCTACCAATATTACAGATGTCATTTTTTGGCGAAATTACTACATTTAACTTGGTATTCCAGAAACAGTAACTTATACACTGTTAAGTAATTACTCCATTCTTACTTCTTAAAAATTGGGTTTGTTTATCCTGTGAATCGTTCCTTAATGCTGATGTGATAATGCTGATTTCTCTCCATACCACCGGCTGATCTGGGAAATTCACAAACCTAGTTTTAAAATGAATGCATTAAATTAAAATGTCAGATTCTATATAATATCCAACAAAGAACATTAACATTTGAATAAAAACACATTTTTCATTATTCCAAGTGAATACGTAGATGTACTAAAACAAACCAAAATAAAGATATAAAAATAAAAAAAAGATATAAAAATAAAAACTAATTTTAAAAAAATGAGGGTATCAGCCCTGGCCAGTGTGGCTCAGATGGTTGAACTTCCCATACCAAAAAGGTTGTGGGTTCGGTCCCTGGCTGGGGTGCATACTGGAGGCAACCAATTGATGTTTCTCTCTCATATTGATCTTTCTTTCTCTCCATTCCTCTCTAAAAAAAAAAAATCAATAAAAACATATTTTAAAAAATGAGGGTACCCACAAGAGTTTTGAGATTTTTGCAAGAGAAAAGATAATATTTCATATGTGTAAAGTACTTCTAAATATCAACAAGAAAAAAAAAGGTACCCAAAGAAAAAGTGGGCAAAGGCAAATCACAGAAAAAACACAAGTAGCCAAAGAGAACATTTGAAAAGATTAGGAATATAATGGAGACAACTATTTAAAAATAGCAAAATACCATTTTCTATCACATTGGCAAACATTTAAATCTGAAAGTCTGATAATATCCACTGTTGGCAAAGGTATGGAAAAATGGACACGCATACACCAATAGTGAAAATGTAAATTGGAATGGTATTTTGGGGAGAGAGAGCACTTTGACAGTGTATCAACATTTAAAATGTGCAAACGTTCACTAGGGAAATCCAGGTAGAATCTATTCTACAGAAAACATCAAAACATGGGTACAATATTGCCTATGGACACTGTAATTTCAAATTTGGAAACTACCAATAAAAGAGTGGTAATGAAATGCTATGCAGACATGAAGAAGAACGAAGTAGATCTCTACCTACGAACAGAAAAAGGGGTCCTTTACTTACAGGAAAAGGGGGTGAAGAAAGCCAGCTGCAGAATAATCAGTATGATCTCGCTTTTGTAATCCACCCCCCAAACGTGCTATATGCATCGTGTGTATGTGTATCTCTCACACACACACACACCTTAACTCTGGCGGAATTTAGGAGGCGGGAGGGGGGCAGGCTTTCACTTTTTATTCTGCATGCTTCAGTATTGTTTTAACGTCTATATAGAGCAGAGGTTCTCAACCTGTGGGTCGCGACCCCTTTGGGGGTCGAACAGCCCTTTCGCAGGGGTCGCCTAAGACCATCGGAAAACACATATATAATTACATACTGTTTTTGTGATTAATCACTATGCTTTAATTATGTCCAATTTGTAACAATGAAAATACATCCTGCATATCAGATATTTCCATTACGATTCCTAACAGTAGCAAAATTACAGTTATGAAGTAGCAACGAAAATAATTTTATGGTTGGGGGTCACCACAACATAAGGAACTGTATTGAAGGGTCGTGGCATTAGGAAGGTTGAGAACCACTGATAATAGAGCATCATGTATTATTTCCAAAATAAAAGAAATTCTTGGACAGCAGAGTTTTAACAAGAAACATTAAGACTTCTCTGCAGAGGGCATGCCAGCAACGAACGTTAGGACTCGAGTCATAGCGAAGGCGGGATGTGGCTGAAGGGGAATCTTCCTGCCATGCCCCCTCCACGGAACAAACCGCAGGCGGCCCGCGCCCGCTCACTCACATGTCGTACAGCAGCCTCCCCGCGGGGTTGGTGCGCTCCGCGTTCCGCTCGATGGTGTACATCTCGTACTGCAACACAGACCAGACCGTCAGGCCCCCGCCCCCGCCGGGCCGCAGGGCTGGGGTCCCGGGGTCAGTGCAATAATGTCTTAAAAGTAGAAGGCGCTGCACAGACGGCTGCCATCGTGATACAGGAACGATCGGAGCCTTTCCTAGAGGCGTTGGTGTGCGGTCGGGGCCACACAGCGGTCAACGCGCGCCACACCTCCCACCAGACCCGAGCTCCAGGGCGTTCGCGGGGTCTGCAGGCGCTGGCGTCGGGGGAGAAGGCTTGGGAGGACGGGTCGGGAGGAGGTGGAGAGAAGGGGGAAAGGAGGGGAAAAGGGAGGGGAGGCGGGCGGGCAGGAGCGGCCCTTCCCGGGCAGCCGGGCGCCGCAGCGGCTTACACCTCCCCGAGGCGGAGCGCGCAGGGCCCGACCTCACCTGGATGTTGAAGTCGGCGGGGTAGAGGCTGCGGGCCGTGATCAGCCACGCCTTGGCCGCCCACAGGTCCTGCTGCACCAACTCGCGGGCTCGCTGCACCAGGAACTCGCAGTCGCCCTGGGCCGACATGGCCCAGGAGGGGTCGGGCCGCCGGCCTGAAACAGCCGAACCTTCCGGCTGCGGAGACGCGGCCAACGCCGTGGCCGCCGCCGCTGCCGCCGGGCAGGTTACTGCGCATGTCCGGTCGCAGGGACGCCGGCAGTGGATCGGGAAGAGTTTTCCGGGTTTTGTGGGCAGCCTCTTCCGGTCGGCTCTCAGTGACCGCCAGGCCCCTTCCTCCTCCGCGGAGCTAGTGTTTTGTACGAGTCTTCCGGGTCACCTCCAAAATCCGGAGAAGTGGATTTTCACTCTGGCGGGCTTCACCGAGACCCTGGTCAAGCCAGAGAGCATGCGCGGGAAGCGGCGGGCGCTAGGGGGCGTTCCCCAGTGCTGGCAGCCTCGCGCGGGCAGGTTTCGGGAGCGGGCGAGCGGAGCGGGGCACCCGCAGGTGGCGGGTGTCCCTGGGTGGCCCGCGCCTCTCGGTTCCCGGGACCAGGCTGGGAGGTTGTTTGAGAGGAAGAAGCAGAGGGCGGCCCGGGAGCCGGCGGGAAGGATCCGGTGGTCCCGGCCGGGTTGAGGGCCCGGCCTCTGGGGCACTGCCCGGGAGTAGATGTAGGAGTAAAGTCTGGGCCCAGGTACGGGGCTCGGTACAGCGGGGAGTGTGATGCCTCGCGTTTGGTCTGGTGCCTTTTATCTTTTCTAAGTGCGTCTGTATTTTATTTATTTATTTATTTTAAATATATTTTATTGACTTTTTACAATGAGGAAGGGAGAGGGATAGAGAATTAGAAACACCGATCAGCTGCCTCCTGCACTCCCCCACTGGGGATGTGCCCGCAACCAAGGTACATGCCCTTGACCAGAATCGAACCTGGGACCCTTCAGTCTGCAGGCCGATGCTCCATCCACTGAGCCAAACCCATTTAGGGCTCCAGCAAGGGATTTACAATGTTATGGAGGTATGACCTACAGAAAAATGCTATTTTAAGTATCTTCTCCAACTAGAATTAATGTCATTTTTACAAAAACTTCAGATTTGTTTAGCATTGGAGGGAAAGAGAACGAAATAATTTCTGTCCTCTTGGAAGGGAGGCCGCACTTAAGGCCAGAGGAAGCAATATTTGCCCAATAGGAAGAATGTACCAAAATGTGGGTTCTGATTAGTTCATTCGATTTTTCAATCTAAGTTGTGTAGAAAATTTTTTTAGCAAATTCTATTACCTCTGATAACTTCCATTTAAAACCAAGGGATTAAGGATTCAAAATTGACTTGTGTGTGTTTTTTTAAAGAAATTACTATGTACTTATGTAAACATAAAAATAGTAAATATTCTAAATAAATATAAATAAATACCATTACTATTTATGGTTATACGTAAAGTATAATATATACTTACTAATTATAATGCTTTATAAATAAACAATCTTAAAAATTAGTGGTGGCGCCCTGGCTGGTTTGGTTCACTGGATAGAGCGTCGGCCTGGGGACTGAAGGGTCCCAGGTTCGATTCCGGTCAAGGGCATGTACCTTGGTTGTGGGCACATCCTCAGTAGGGGGTGTGCAGGAGGCAGCTGATCGATGCTTCTCTCTCATCGATGTTTCTAACTCTGTCCCTCTCCCTTCCTCTCTGTAAAAAATCAATAAAATATATTTTTAAAAAAATTAGTGGTGGGTTATTTATTTATGTTTGTGTGCTAGTTTTAGAGATAAGTGACAAATAGGGCAGGCACAAAGGAACACAACGTGAAGTGCCAATGCTATCACATCATTAATGTCTGAGCTCTTTCATTAGTTTATTTTGCTTATTACCCCATTCCAAAAATGGCAATGTTAAGTATCTTCCCCTTTCCTCAAAACTTTTTAAAATTTGATTTTGTTTAATTGGTACCCTCAATGGTATCTCCTGGTAGGACTCACTGCATTTACCTCGGTCATTCTGTGATGTAGCGAGGAAGCATTATGATCCCAAAGGTGCTATTTAATGTCTTCTGATTACGCACAGGAACAGCGTAATTTTTCGATTCTTTTGTAGGCGAGGAAGCTGTGATAAAAATGTTTTGGCTTTGTAGGAAAGAAGGCAGAAAACTGAACAGATCAAAGTAACTTTTACCTGATAAAGGATAGGTCATAAAAACAGATTGCTGTCTTAAATATTTTTTCATTATTAGCCTGGCTGGCATGGCTCAGTGGTTGAGTGTCAACCTATGAACCAGGAGGTCACGGTTCCATTCCCTGTCAGGGCTATTTTATTAAAATATATATATATATTTTTTTAAAATATATATTTTTTATTGATTTTTTACAGAGAGAAAGGGAGAGGGATAGAGAGTTAGAAACATCGATGAGAGAGAAACATCGACCAGCTGCCTCCTGCACATCTACTGGGGATGTGCCCGCAACCAACGTACATGCCCTTGACCGGAATCGAACCCGGGACCTTTCAGTCCGCAGGCCGACGCTCTATCCACTGAGCCAAACCGGTTTCGGCTAAAATATATTTTTATTGATTTCAGAGCAAAAGGGAGAGGGAGAGAAACATCAATGATGAGTGAGAATCATTGATCGGCTGCCTCCTGCACATCCCCCACTAGGGATCACAGCTGCTTCTCAGGCATGTGCCCTGACCAGGAACTGAACCGTGATCTCTTGGTTCATAGGTCGACACTCAACCACTGAGCAACACTGGCTGGGCATTTTTATTGATTTTAATGTACAAAGTTTGTGTAGAGATTTCCAAATGGCAAAACGGTCATTAATCTTTAAGTTTGGAATTACCAAAACAAAAAACAAAACTGTACACTTGTTCCTGAATCTTTAGTTCTCTAGTGTTCTATTAGATAACAATTAGAAATTAAACTTTTAATTATGGGGATAAATAAGGGAACTCTGGATGTATTTTAGATGCCAATCAATTGAAATTGCCTCTTTTTGCCAGAATACAACATAAGATTTGTGGCTATTTTCTATCCAACTTTGTTTTTTCAAGTCAGCATCAATTTTATTTTTAATAAATATATTTGATTGATTTTAGAGAGGAAGGGAGAGGGAGAAACAAATGAAAACAATGATGAGAGAGAATCATTGATTGGCTGCCTCCTGCGTGTCTCACACCAGGGATGGGGGATCGAACCCTCAACCCAGGTATGTGCCCTGACCCAGAATCAAACTGTGACCTCCTGGTTCATAGGTTGACGCTCAACCACTGAGCCACACCAGCTGCATCAGTTTTTATTTGCCATTTCTTTCCAGCAGAGAAGGCTGCTGTAGATATACCAACGCACTCCTGCCTCCAGGTGTGGTCATATAAACATGAATTTGTCAGTACAACTTCTTCCTCAAGGCCTTTGATACTGTGAAGAAGTTGGCTCTTGTCCCTGACTTAGAAGTTGTCATCTGGAGAACATGAGCCAGGTGCTCAGATTCTCAGTGAAGATTCAAAATCATGGCAAGGAGGCCAAAAGATGTACATGCACTTGGCCTAGTACCTTCCTTGTGTACTTGAGATGCCTGCAAGACACTCCCGAGGAGAAATGTTTAGCTGGGGACCTTTCCTCAATCTGGCTCATGTTCTCCACGACAATTTCTAAGTCATGTAAGATGCCCAGCATCCAGCCTCAAGTTCCTTGAACTCAGTTCAGTGATTTGTATTAAACACTATGTTGCTTTGTATCTTCAGGTGCAAAATACTAAAACCCACAAGTACAACCTCTGAACTTGCACTGACACAGCCTCTTTCCTGCCCTCAACTCCCTGTTTGGTTCTTTTTAATGGTTTCTTCATTTCTCTTCTCCCTGACTTTAGCTTCGCAGACCTCTATTCCCTTGACATTTACATTTTTCTCCTAATGTATCTGCCTTCTCCTGGGCTTACTCTGCTTCCTGCTCACACTAAAAAGCCTGTGCTGGGACACTCAGCATGTTCAATGTCTTTGCCTCTTTATCCCATCACTGTATCTACTCTTCAAATTACCAACCCTGTGTCCCATCCTATGGTGCATCTTCCTGGATGTGTGACTGGCTTGAAATAGGTGCGATGAATGAATATCCAGGAGGCTGAGTTCTGTTGTGCAGATTGATGCTACAGCTAATTCCAGGTTTAAGTATCAGTCTGGGCTCTTGACCACGCCACCTCCCATTCTTTCATCAACTTACAGTTAACTCTTAAACAGTAGCATGGAGGTCAGGGACACTGACCCCTGCTGAGTTGAAAAATTAGCCTATAACTTTTTAAAAAATTGATTTTAGAGAGGGAGAAGGAGAGATAGAAACATCGATGAGAAACATAGATTGACTGCCTCTTGCACGCCCCCTACTGGGGATCGAGCCCTCAACCCAGGCATGTGCCCTGACCGGGAATTGAACCAGTGACCTCTTGGTGCACTGGTCAATGCTCAATGACTGGGCCACACTGGCCAGGCATCAGGGTATAACTTTTGACTCCTCCAAAACTTAACTACAGTTAGCCCATTGCATCCACAGATTTAACCTACTGCAGATGGAAAACAGTATCTTTGATCTGTGGTTGGGAATCTGGTTGGGAATGTGAAAATACTGTTTTTAATTTGTACTTGGTTGAATCTGCAGATGCAAAGAGCTGACTGTATTTATTGGGGGAAAAATCCACCTATAAGTGGACCCAGGCAGTTCAAACTCATGTTGTTCAAGAGTCAACTGTATTTCAAGCCTTTGTCATTTTTCTCAAGTGCTTATCTTTACTGTGAGCAGATGACTTTACCTTTTACTGAGAAGACTGCGGCCATCAAGCCTTAAACTCCTTCAGTTTTGGGCATCATGGCCCTATTTACATTTCAAGATCAAACACCTGATCATGTAAGTATTCTTAAAACCCTTTTATGGTTTTCAATTGTGCTGATGTCGGATGTGTGGCTACTGCTCTGCCTTTGCAACCACCCCTGACCTAGAACTTCTTTCAGTTCTTCCGTGTGGTACATTGTCATCTCCACACATTCTCGTGTACTGTCACTTTTGCTTTGCTTAGAACAGTCACCATGGCCAATGTCAAGGGGGTAATTCTTTGCTTGTTAGATAACACTTCCTCAGGGAAACTCCCGGGCTTCACCCCTCCTCTGTTCCATGGTCCTTATACCGTTGTATATCTGATGAATTAC